TACATTGCATCAAAAGAAAAGAAAAAAGTTCTGGAATACATGGATTGGCCCCCTCAATCCCCTGATATTAATCCTATTGAGCTATTGTGGGATGAACTCAATAGAAATGTTACAAAAATGAGATGTACCAATCAAATCTTTACTAGTTGCTAGTTTAGAGAATCTTTACTTAGTTGCTGGAACCAGATATCAGCTAGAACCTTACAAAAACTAATAGAAAGAATGCAAAAAATATGTGCTGTTGTGATGAAGGCTAAAGGAGGATATATCGAAGATTGCAAGATTTTTATTAGTGACTTCAACTGTAGTTACTTTTTAAATCTGTTAATCTGTGTTAAATGCATTATTAGTTACACTTTATTAGGATTAACTGCTCAAGTAAAGTAATTTTGATTTTTTTTATCAATTTTGATTACTTTAACTTGAATTTTTTGAATAAATTTGAAAGTTACAAGTTTTTATGAAAGATATTTTAATAAAACTTGACAAAAAATTTTATTTTATATACCTGACTTTCATTTTTGTCTAAGTAATGTGGATTAATTTTTCGAAAAAGTGCAGCTCTTTAACATTCTGTTCATGGTAGGTTTATAATGTTTATTTGGACACTTTTTAATGGATATCAGCAAAAACGTTTTTGAAAAAGTAGTTTGATTTTGTTTCCTTTCTCTTTTTATGTATTGATAATTTGCAGAGAGTTTGAAAAAAGTAAAAATAGATTAAGAAGTGATAAATTGTTTCTTGATTCTTACTTTACAAATTATTTTTATGTGTTTCACAATTTCATTTGCATGCATTTCTGTTTATCTAATTTGTTTAATATTTTTAGAAATGCAGAAATTTTCATAATCTCCATTATATATTAATATTTTTGTTTCATATATATTTCATAAGTTTTGAATACCATAATATATTTTATTTTTGTAAAGTATCTAAACACTTACTATTTGTCACTTGAAGTAAGTTTATTTTTTTGCATTCTGTTTTTAGTTTAACCATCAAGAACTAAACCTAAATCAATGTTTCTCTTTAACCATTCATTTGACTATGAATAAAAATATAAAAATGTTCATATTTTTAACATTATTTCATTTATATCAGTCTAATTTGTTTTTTTAAGCAGATTGCAGATTACTCTTAGTATATATATATATACACTACCGGTCAAAAGTTTAGACTCACTTGTATTTAATTCAAAATTTTCAAAAATAGTTAAATGTTTCTGACTTAAACATATAATTTATCAAACATAATCATAAACAAACATCTCAAAACTCTGTTTTCTTTTAAAACTGCTCATTATTTTTTCATTTTGTATCTATTCTGTAGTTGATAACGAAATGATAATATATATAATATAATAGCCTTATTTAGCCAGAATAACTGGTATATATTAAAAACAAAAATAAATTCTTTTTTATACAATTTATTACAGAAATATGTGTCAAAAACGAAAAATAAGTGTAGAAACATGTGCAGTTATTATTGCACTTCATGCAGAAGGCTATTCAAGTAGACAAATCGCCTCTAAAACTAATGTTTCTCAGACTACTGTTGTCAGAACTTTGCAAAGGAAGAAAGAAGCTGGCCAAAATAAGAGCCGCCAGCGATCAGCGAGACCTAGAATAATGTCCAAACGTGAGGATAAGTTTATCCGCATTCAAAGTAAGCGGCAGCGGACTCGAACAGCACCAGAAATGCGTGAGGAATTGAATGCTACTCAGCAGAAAATTGTGTCAGTATCTACTGTACAACGTTACAGAAAATTGTGTCAGTATCTACTGTACAACGTTGCAGAAAATTGTGTCAGTATCTACTGTACAACGTCGACTTCGTGACTATGGTTTAAAAGGTTGTGTAGCTGCTAGAAAACCTCTTTTGAAAAAACAAAATAAAGTAAAACGACAGCAATAGGCTAAAAAACATGTTACCTGGTCTTTAGAACAGTGGTCAAAGGTTTTGTTTACGAACGAATCAAAATTTGAATTGTTTGGAAGCAAACGAAGGCAGTATGTTGGTCGTTTATTTGGTGAACGTATGACAAGTCAATGTTTACTACCAACTGTGAAGCATGGTGGATGTTCAGTCATGATTTGGGGATGTTTTGCTGGTGATAAAGTTGAAGATCTTATAAGAATAGAGGGTATTATGGATAAAAAATATTATCACAGAATATTGCAGTGTTACGCTTTTCCATGTGGACAGAGAATCATTGGTCAAGGATTTGTTTTTCAGCAAGATAACGATCCAAAACATTAATCGAAATTGTGTAGAAACTGCATTGCATCAAAAGAAAAGAAAAAAGTACTGGAATACATGGATTGGCCCCCTCAATCCCCTGATATTAATCCTATTGAGCTATTGTGGGATGAACTCGATAGAAATGTTACAAAAATGAGATGTACCAATCAAAACATACTTAGAGAATCTTTACTTAGTCGCTGGAACCAGATATCAGCTAGAACCTTACAAAAACTAATAGAAAGAATGCAAAAAATATGTGCTGTTGTGATGAAGGCTAAAGGAGGATATTTCGAAGATTGCAAGATTGGACGAAATTCACAAGTTATGCATAAAATTACAGTTCTTACCATATAAGCGTACCTACATTTCTCAAAATAAGGTTAATTTAATGTAATTTTCAGTTTAAAAAAAGTCATTTTTAATTGTTATTTGTCTATTTTTAAAAATTCAAGAGTGAGTCTAAACTTTTGACCGGTAGTGTATATATTTGAACATGCAAAAGTTATAAAAATTAACATGTTAAGTGAAATCTTATCTTCTGAAAACTGACAGAGGTCAGTTGTTTTTTAAAAGCTTATTTAATATCTAGGACTAAGAAATCTATACCCAAATTATTACATAATCAAATAATTAGCATGTAGTAAGTATAAATGCTTCCCAATTTTTTTTTATTGTATTGAAAAGAAAATTTATTGCTTTGACAAAATTTTATATACTAATCTTTCATTTGATTATGTTTTTAAAACAACTTATCAAAACTAATAGATGAAATGTGAAACTTAAGTGTGAAACTTGCTTATTAAAACGAAAATTTACAAATTCAAAAAAGATGACAATTCACTTAGTAAAATTAGAATTAATAATGTGATTACTTTTTAACTGAAAGTCTTATCTTTGTTTGTTTGAATATTGCTGCATATATTTGTCGAAAATTCCTGAAATATTGAATTTTTGATTATT